GCTACAATCAACGGTACAAAAATATCATCCATCTTTTGTCATTCATTGTTAACTCAAAGAATCCTCCTTTTGACTTTTTTTTCTTCATTTTCTCCTAATATATTCAGATGAATCCGAAACACCGGGGGATAAACTGATAGGAGGGCTTTTAACCGCGGATTTCGATGAAGGTTCTTGCTTAAGTAGGTATCATAAAAATTTCTTGTACCGCAAGCCTTCGCCATACAAGCCTTCCGAATATCTCGTCTCTAAGCTTAGAAGCTATGAGATGATTCACAAACGTTGCGGTCCAGGGACAAAAGCTTACAAGGAAGCAACAAAGCATCTTAGTCATGATGAGAGTTATAATGCAAGCAGATCAGATGGTGAATGCCGATATGTTGTGTGGCTCGCGGATTACGGTCTTGGAAACCGACTACTCACTCTTGCTTCTGTGTTCCTCTACGCTCTCTTGACTGATAGAGTCATTCTTGTTGACAACCGCAAGGATATTGGTGATCTCTTATGCGAGCCATTTCCAGGTACTTCATGGTTGCTTCCTCTTGACTTTCCATTGATGAAATATACTTATGGATACAACAAGGATTACCCTCGTTGTTACGGAACAATGGAGGAAAATCATTCCATCAACTCGACTTCAATCCCGCCGCATCTATATCTGCATAACCTCCATGATTCAAGGGATAGTGATAAGATGTTCTTCTGCCAAAAGGATCAAAGTTTGATTGACAAAGTCCCTTGGTTGATTTTTAGAGCCAATGTTTACTTTGTTCCATCTTTATGGTTTAATCCAACATTCCAAGCCGAACTAACTAAGCTGTTTCCGCAGAAAGAAACCGTCTTTCACCACTTGGCTCGGTATCTTTTTCACCCCAAAAATCAAGTTTGGGATATCGTCACTAAGTACTACCATGATCACTTATCCAAAGCAGAGGAGAGACTCGGGATTCAAATTCGAGTTTTTCGCGATCAAGGTGGATACTACCAACACGTCATGGACCAAGTCATATCATGCACACAAAGAGAGAAACTTCTACCTGAATTGGCTACACAAGAAGAATCAAAAGTCAACATATCGAACACACCAAAACTTAAAGCTGTTCTTGTCACTTCTTTGTCTCCTGAGTACTCTAAAAAACTAGAGAACATGTTTTCAGAGCGATCAAATTTGACAGGAGAGATTATTGAAGTTTATCAGCCAAGTGGAGAAAGGTATCAACAAACAGATAAGAAGCAACACGACCAAAAGGCGCTTGCTGAGATGTATCTTTTGAGCTTAACCGATAACATTGTTACAAGCTCAAGGTCTACATTTGGATATGTTGCTTATAGTCTTGGAGCATTAAAGCCATGGTTACTTTATCTGCCAAATGATCTCAAAGCTCCTGATCCGCCGTGTGTTCGATCCACGTCGATGGAGCCTTGTTTCCTTACTCCTCCGACTCATGGATGTGATGCCGACTTGGGAACTGAATCGGGGAAAGTTGTTCCTTTTGTTAGGTATTGTGAGGATATATGGGGGCTTAAGCTATATGATGAATTATAGATATTGTTTATCACATTTGATTTCATTGGATTGTTGAATTATTGAAACATAGGATAAATGTTATATATCTTTCTTTTCATTTTCTTCAATTATAATCTTTTGTATGAAGTTATGTTACTGCATGGAAAGAGTTAGTTGTTTAAAACGTTTACGAGGTTTTGTTTAGTCTAAAATAGTAAAAAAGAAAGTAGATTATGCAAAATTAAATGGATAACTTTAAGGAGGGGTTGATATTCTAGCCTTTGGGATTGGATGCGCCCGATTTGGATATCAAAACTTGTGGGGATGAGTTAGTCAATGAGGCAAGTCGTGGTGGTCTCTTTCTCCAAGTGAATCTGTGCGTTTTGAAGTAACAAAAAGCCGTTGGTGAAGTTGTCAAGTGTGAACACGAGTGCGAAAACCTTCAAATATGGCAAGTGGAGATCCTTCTTTTTGACTTTTGTCTTCTTATTCTTTGGATGAATTGGGACCAATTCCTGGGGAACAAAAGGAAGCTTCTAAGACTCCGAGTGGGTCTCCAAGTCATGGTATTAACTGGTGAGAAGTTTAATATACGAGATTCTCTTTGAACTTTGCCATTTCTCTATTTTGAGGTCATCTCCTAAACCAGCTCGAACATGTGATGGTTTCCTTCGATCATTCCTCATAAAATTGGTGATTTGTCGATGAATATTCATGGTCAGCTCAACAATGGACAAATATCTCTTGTTCAAAAGGCTTAAAATGTGTATGCAAAATTGGTGTTGGGTTGTTTTGGTGAGCTTTCTCAGTCATGTCCGGATGGGAGTTAATGGTCTAGTACGGTTGTGAATGTAACTACATGGGTAGTTAGTCTTCGGATAGGTAGATTGAATTCTAGAAGTAACAAATCTTGGACAGTCATTTCTTCTTTTCCCTTAACATGTTCCCCAAAGAAGAACGTCTCTCCTTTCTCTTCGGCTAAAACATCATGTCCGTTTGATTGCGGCTTTAGTACAGTCCATTAGAAGAAGAACAAGTGTCACTCTCTTTATTGGTTGCATGTGTGAGTCTCACATGAAGATTGTTAAACTGCTAAAAAGTACTTATGTCTCTTCTTCTTTCTTTATCGTGTTGTATCGTAGATCGGACAAAGGTTAGCGAAGGGAGATCATAGAAAGCTTGTAACAATCTTGTGGGAGCTCGAGATTGACCTAAGTACTAGTGGATTCTGTAGTCAATCTCCACCGAGACATTAGCTTCTGGTTTAGAATCCGAACTCATAAAATATTTGTGTTCTTTCTTTTGCATGTGTTTCATTCTCTTGCAAATCTTATTCATATCGAATAAGCAATGTCTAATAAGGAACTAGTAGTTGATTAAGATTCACTGTTGCGATACAAACCAACGTGAAATATTAGAAAATAATAGTCTAATATATATGCTAAGTCCAACTATAATTAGTATGAGGCTTTTTGAGAAGAAGCCTAAAAACAAATCCGTGCGGACTTAAACACTTGGGCTCAAAGCGGACAATATCATATTAATGGGGAGTTGGAATGGGCTTAGAGAACCCAATAATTGGTATGAGAGCCTAGATCGAGAAAAGTGGACCTAGGAGAGTGGGCTTAGGCCTATGATCGGTGTGGGAGAAGTCCTCAATGTGGATGTAGGATTCACACTCGATTGTCTTTAAGTATTTCAGTGGAGAAAAACTCTTGTAAAATCAGAAAATGAATATGAAAATTCGAAAGGGAAATTAACCAAGAAAAGAAGTAAAGAAATTTGACAAGAGCGAAGTACAAAATGCCTTGCGAAAGTAATAAAGAGAGAAAGTATATTGTATTGCTTAGAAGTAATCAGTAAAAAGATTCGTCCCCCAAACTCATAATCGCATTGATCCGCATTAATCATGTAGGTTACAATTTGACCGAAACGGCTTGAATTTGAACTATCTTGGGCTTCGCATGGATCTACTGAACTCTTTCTTGCTGACTCCGAACTCCCGCGTTTTGACGCTATCGCGAGCCTCGAACAATATTCTCCTCGTTTCGACATTTCTCTATGCGAACTGTCTGTCGAATAAGAGCGAACTCCATACTGGCAAGGATCGAGCTCTTCTACTAGACTGAACCGAACTCCCGACTGGTTAAGCTCGATTCTTATAATAAAATATCTTTAATTCCAAGAGGATTATTATGTAATAATGACGTGGACAGATCCAAGTGGATCCTACCAAAAATGTGTGGGATCCGACCCCAATATTTAGCCCCCCAAGTCTTGTGAGCTGAGTGCTCGGTTGGGAAGACTTAAGTAAACACTAATTAATGAATTGAGATCTTTAACACTCTGGAATTACTCCATGTTTTACGCTGTTACGCCGATCTCGGATAATCAAGTGATTTGATATCCCTGACAACCGTCATCATTAATTTCTTAATTTTATATTAATACTACGGAGAAAACTGTCCCGCTTCCCAATATTCTCGAGGCGGTCTTCTATCATACTTTAGGATTCTAAGAGGTAATATTACTTTTCCTTCTTATCTTCTTTACCTAGAAAACTTTCATTCTCATTACAGAGGTCGTTGTTTTCTTTCGGTAAAAACCCATTTCATAAAATGTCGAACCTCCCTTCTGAATTTCGCGAATATGAGGCTGATGATCTCGAAGCTCTCATGGGTGAGGGAACCGAACCTCATACCCAAACTGGAGGTGAGTTTGATCTTCACCCTCAGAGTCAATCGACCGTTGATTCTCTCAACGATCTCCGTCGCTTATGCCACATTCCCCCCGAAGTGGAGATGGTGGTCCCAGAGCCTTACGAGTCTCCAGAGTCGGGGCGCGAGGGTTATTGCTGCGCCTATGAAATTTATTTCAAAGGGTGCGGCTTGTTCCTTCCCCTTCCTGAGATACTTCTTACCTACCTCAACCATCTGGGAATTGCCTTCTCTTAGATGTTGCTTAACATGCTCCGGTATCTTATGTGTACCTTCACTGTTGCGGCGGAGGCGGGCTACACGTTGGGCCTTAGCGAACTCTTGGAATTATTCTAGGCTCACGAATCCCAAACTTCTGGGTACTATGCCCTTTATCCGATCGCAGATCGGAACCTTATTGATAGCCTGCTTTTAAAAGACAACGCCTGGAAGAAGTTTTGGTTCTTCTTCCGTATAAATAGTTTTTCCGTTCAGAGTTCTTCCGAACTGCTCCGAACTCACTGGTCATCGAATTTGGGTAGAAACTAGGACTTAAATAAATAAGTTTCTCAGGCTATTTCAAACTGCGTTAACACTTTCTCGTTTTCCCGCAGGTTCCCAAATTCGGCCAGTTCCCTCTGTTGACTTCCTCAACTTTTACAAGGCCTTCCTTGAGAGGCTAGTTACTTAGAATTCTTTTACTTTGGAGAGAATTCATGGTGCCGGACATTTTGTCAGAATGGGCCTTACTCATCCCGTCGACCCTCCTCCTGCTGAGATTGATCTCTCGAGTTTGAATGCCCAAGATAGGAGAAGGATCAGAGAAGCAGACAAGAAGATCAAAGATCAGATCTCCCAGATTGGAAAAAAACAAGAAAAATGCATCCCTCGTCGGGGACGACAAAGTCTACCGGAAAACTCTCCTAGTTGATGACGGGTCCCTTGAGGGTTCAAAGTCAATGGTGGTCACCATAAACAATGCTCCTTCCTCTACCCCAGCAGCAGACATCATGGTCCCTGCCACTGCTGAAGAAGGAGGTCCCTTAGATGGCTCCTCTTTTATGAAGATGAGGAAGGCTGAGGGACCTGAACCCCCGCTTCAGGGAAGGTCCAAGAGCACGAGGAAAGCCGAAGCCATTTCTTCAAGTCTTCCAGTTCCTGAATCTGCTGACGTTCAGGGTAGAAATCCTGATTCAGGAATTGTTTTGAGAGAGCCGCTGAGTTCAGGGATGCTACCCCCTAGGCGTCCTCGAGGTAATACATCTAGAGCTCGATCATCTCCGAGCTCAGGACTCGTTGCCAGAGCTTCATCTCCATCAGGTAATCCTCAATTAACCTTTTGATACTGGAGATTAACTGATTTTTTAAGGAATTCTATATTCATACAAATATCTTTACTTTAGATAAAAAGAAGATTGGAAACATCTTTAGATGTTTCCACACTCGCTCTGGGAAGAAACTTCCGTCAATTGGGCACTGGAGGGATGACATCAAGAAGATGTATATCAGTCATTCATTCCACTCTTCTCAGGTTTGACTGTTTGAATCTGTAAATATTTTATTTTGAATCTCCTTTTTCTTATCGCATCTTATTTTATCAGGAAACCCTGGATGTGAACAGCATCATCAACCATTACGAAGAGGAGCTCACCAAAGTTTCCAAGAGAGCTGCTATTGCCGAAGGAGAGATTGAGAAACTCCAATCTTCCAACCAGCTTGCGAAGGAGACGACTGGTCTCGACTCGGCTCGTCAGAAAGAAATCGAGCAACTCGAAAGATCTGGCGAGGAGACGAGGAAGAATTTGGCTGAGACAAAGCAAAAGCTAAAAACTGCCCTTGCTGACCAAAACTTCGCAAAGGGCGAGATCGAGCTTCTGAAATCAGAGCTTAGCAAGGTCAAAACAGTTGCTGAGGAGTTCGAGCGAAAAAATGAGTCTCTTTCCAAACTGAAAGATCAGGATGTTCGCAAGATATCTCATGATGGTCGGAAAGAGGTTAAAGGAGCTGGGTTCCTTCTTGGCATGCAGGAATTTATCTCTGCAGATAAAGCTTGGAACAAACTTAACTCTGAACGTGATGAGATGAAGAGAAATCTCGATCTGATCAAGGAGATAAAAGAAGGAAAAATTAATTTGGCTGAAGAAAAGGAGACAGTTGGCGCTGAGCTCGCTGAGACTGAAGCTAAGCTAGCTACTGCTCCTTAGCCATATTTAGATTTGCAGAAATTTGCCTCTGAGTTCGCTGATTCCCCTCCACTAACCGAACCTAATACCGGTTTGTCTTTGGACGAGATGATGTTAACTGGTTCCCCCAGTGCTCATTTTAATGAGTTCGGAACCAATGTTGACAAAATTTCTTTGGAACGAACTCAGGAGTTCTCTGGTCAGGATCCTGCTATTTCCTCGCTTATGGAAGATGACTTTAGATCGAGGAGCAAAACTCCTCAGGACGCTAGCTCGCTTAACCCTGAGGTGGTTCTTACAACTCAAGATGCTGCCGTCGGGGGTGCTCTTGTCTCAAGCCAAGTAGGAGATGGAGGCGGTTCGCCTATGAATGAATGATGGTGATTGTACTCACCTTTTATGGGAAATGTCCCTTTAATTTAAGACATAAAACTTGCTTTGTTGGCCATGGGGCCGTTTGTTACTCTTTGAGTTTTTTGCCCAAGGAGGCTTTTATTACTGTTTTGAATAATTTGCCCAAGGGGGTTCTTAATTAAAATTTCTTTAGAAAGAAATATTTAATTTTGGTGGAAAGCATCGATTTTACCTAGAGGGTTTGCAAAGTTCTCCTAACCGAAATGGTTTAGAATTATAGGAGAGATAGGCTGATCAGACCTACTTGCCTTTTTTAAAGAAAAAACATTAGAATTTTTCCTCGGTCTCTCGGTTGCGAGGTTAGAGCTCGGCTTACAAAAATACTTCGTGATACTTCGAAATGTGTTCGATTAGAAAAATCTTAGTGAGAACTGTTTGCTTTTCTTGAAAAGGACAAAAAAAGGTTTAATACCATTTATTAACTGCCCTTGAATTTCACGTTCGAAATTTAGTTTACCTACTAGGTGTTAAGTGATACTTGAATAACTTATGTTTTGTAGGTCTTGTTTGTGAATGTACACGAAAATCGAAAGGTCGTAACTGTCAGATCAATAGATTGACGTTTAAATTCCTTTTTCAATAAATACTCAAGTGAGTAATCTTATATATTTTTCCTATATAAGGAGAGTAAGATTTTGGGAATTTCCCAATAAACCTTTTCTTCACAAAGAACTTTGCAGTTCTCCTTTTCTGAATTTCTTGTTTTTGATGGCCTCTCCCCAAGGCGAACCTTCTGATCCTAATCCACCACGATTCCCTTTAAGCGAATCTCTTTTTTCCCACGAGGGATGGATTCACTCCACAAGGGGTGGCTATTCCTTGTTTTCTTTCTTCCATGTCTAAGGAAGAACAGATCGAGTGCCATGAATTCATGGAGCAGGTTTGAACCCGGTACCAATTGTTTCAAGGTTTTAGTTGATAGATTTGTAATGCATCTGTTCTTTGCAGATCACGGAAAGGTATGTTTTCCTCTGCTCCGAAAGGCAAAGCCTGAGAAGGAAACGCCATAACCTCGAGGACCGAATTGCTAGAACTGAAAGGAAGATCCGACGTTTGGAGTCGGATGTTCACAACTAGGAGAGAAGGGGATTTGACTCTATCGCTCGCATTCCCGGCTGTCTTCGAGAACACATCAGGTTTCTGAAGAAGCATTGGGATATCTACCAAAGGAGCCTCGAACCCGACGAACGCGAAAACGGTTCATCATCCGACGAAGTTCCTTCTGCGAACCCTCCTCCTTCTTAATTATTTATTATTTTGTAACATACTATTGGGCTGGCGGCCCAGCGACATTAATTATATTTCCCTTTTTGCTTTAAATTTGCCGATTTACTCAAATCTTATTTAATACGTTTAATCTAGGGAATATAATTAGTGATTAACTCGATTACATTTTCCACGAAGATAGTAATTTCAGAGTTTGGGAAATCGTCAATTGATCCTCTTAAATGTGATTGAGTATATTTCGAATATAAAGTAGGTGTAGCTCATTATTGAATTTAATCAACAATAATTCTACAAAAATGTTCAAGGAAGGTAATTCTTCAGAGAATCCCTCCGACTCGTTTAAAAAGATAAGCGATAATCTTCTGGAAACGTCAGACATCGAGTTTGTAAAAACAGAAGCAGCCGGCGAACCAGAAGAGTCACGCCCATTGGGGTGGGGAACCAGCATTCAGGTTCCAAATGTGTTAATCAAGAGATTATCAGCTCAAGATCGTGTCAAGGCTAAAGAGTTTATTAACAAGGTATTGTTCAACCTAGTAACTTGACTCCTTTCGTTGTTTGTTAAACGAAGCGTTTTGTTTTCTCCAGCTTATTACTCGGCATAACGAGCTCGAAGATGAGAAAAAGAGATTAGAAAAAAGAGAATGGAACTAGAGAAGCGTCGCCTCGATATTACTCGCGAGCTTCATCGCCTCGAAGCCCATCCTTCTGATTGGATCGAGATAGGCCTACATGAGTACGGAAACATGCCAGGTTGTATCCTGAACATCCTTGACCTCGCAGGCCAAGGAGCAGAGCTATTCCGTAATCCAAGACCCTTCTAGATTTGGTTTTTGCTTTAGCTGAAAATATTTCTTCATACATTGTTCGCAACGTATTTTTATATTTATGCTCGAATATTAAATTTATAAAAACAAGACTCCATGATTGGAATAATATTTTTATTTTATAGCTGGACTCGTGTTGAGCGAGCTGGCTACGTACCCAAAATAGGATCAAGCAAAATCGTAGTTCGATATACTTGTTTTAGCAATAGAACTTTTTCAAGTTGATGATGTTCCAAGGCCTTTGAACGGGATTACCGTCAAGGTCCTGTAAACGGTATATGCCATTTCGGATTTTTTCTATGATTTGATAAGGGTCTTCCCAGTTAATACCGAGTTTTCCAGCTCCTTCTTCTTTTGTGTTATCGAACACTCGCCTTAAAACAAAGTCTCCTACATTTAAAGGTCTGTTTTTCAACTTTGAGTTATAGTATCGAGCGGTCAACTGTTGATAGTTCTGAAGTCGAATAAGGGATTGGTCTCGCCTTTCATCAATTGTATCGAGAACGTCTTCTAATAATTTAGAATTCAGTTCTTCGTTAAGTGGAGCTTCGCTCCGGCGTAAACAGGGAACATTCAGCTCGGCTGGGACTACTGCTTCCATCCCATATACTAATGAGAATGGAGTTTCTCCCGTTGCTCGTCTCGAGGTTGTTCGATATGCCCACAACACAGGTTGCAGCTCGTCATACAAACCACCTTTTCGAGCATTCAAACGTTTCTTAAGATTGCTGAGAATGGTTTTATTGGAGGCTTCCGCTTGCCCATTTCCTTGAGGATACCTTGGCGTTGAATAGCTAAGTTTTATCCCCCAAGAGGAACAAAAATCTTCAAATTCATTTGAAATGAACTGTGGACCATTGTCCGTTACTATTTCGTAAGGAACTCCATGGCGACAAATAATGTGTTTCCACAAGAATGTCTTTACCACAAAATCTTGTATATTTATGTAAGCTTCAGCTTCGATCTATTTGGAAAAATAGTCCGTTAGAACTAATAAGTATTGGACGCCTCACGTTGAGCGATGCATCGGGCCAACTATATCCATTGACCATCTCATGAAAGGGTATGGAGCGGATATAGATGATAAAAATTCAGATGGCTGGTGAATAAGAGGAGGGTGCATCTGGCATTTTTTACACCGTTTGGCGTACGTAATCGATGCAGTCAGAAATCATAGTTGGCCAGAAATATCCTAACCGTTTGATTTTGAAAGCCATTGCTCGTCCTGAAGAATGACTGCCGCAAAGCCCTTTGTGGACCTCGCTTGTCACTATTTCAACTTCGGGCCCAAAAATACATAAAAGATAAGGATCACTGACGCCTCGCTTGTACATTGACTCTTTAATTATACAATACTTAGCGCTGATGATTCTTAATTTGCGAGCTTGCCATTTGTTCGATGGTAGTTCTCCATGAAGAATGAAATTTTTGGTGGGTACCCTCCAGTCAGCCTCCCAATCATTAGCGGAAGTATTATCCTTGAGTATAAACTTCCTTTGTTCCGGCTCAGAAGGAATATCAGGATCATTAAGCAAAACTTCTTCATTATTTGCGGTATCCGGAAGTGACTGTTCAGCTCGAGATGGTTCTTTAATGGGAACCACTTGATCTTTTAGTTTTCTTCTCGGCTTTCTTTTAGGAAGTTCTGTTTGTGGATTAAGCTCGTCATTTTGAGACTTTGCTCGTGATCTACTGACAACAAGCGAACTGTTCTTGTTGTCGGTATTTAATTATGGAGTTTCGATATGCTCGACCTCCAAAATATTATCGTTTCCTGTTTCTTCATCCAAAGTACTTCGTGAAGTAATACATTCAACTGGAATCACTCGCTTAAGTTCGGGATTTGAGGTAGAAGCTAGGGCAGCTAAAGCGTCTGCCGAAGTGATCTCGCCTCGAGGTATTCGAACTAATTCGAATTCTTTGAATCTTCCAGCTAACTTTTTGACGGCCGAAAGGTAGGCTTCCATTCGAGGTGTCTTAGCTTCATAATCTCCAGCGAACTGGTTTACAACTAGCTGAGAATCACAGTAAGCTATTATTTTTTCTGCTCCAATTGCAAGAGCAAGCCGAAGTCCTGCTAAGAGAGCTTCGTATTCCGCCTCATTGTTCGAGGCTGGGAACATTAATCGAAATGATTGTTCGATTATTTCTTTTGTCGGACTTTCGAGCCTAATACCGATTTTGGATCCTTGTTTAGAAGAAGAACCATCTACGTGTAATTTCCATGTAGAGTTTGTTTCGATAAAGGTTCCATCATCTAATGGCAGTTCGGTTAGAAAATCAGCTAGAACTTGTGCTTTTGCGCTAGTTCGACTTTTATATTCTATATCGTACTCACTGAGTTCGATAGCCCATTTCGCCAATCTACCGGACTGACTTGGTCCGTGAAGAATTGAGCGAAGCGGATGAGAAGTTAAAACTTCTATCGGATGAGATTGGAAATAGGGTCTAAGTTTCTAGCAGATATGACCACTGCTAAAGCTAATTTTTCCATCATGGTATATCTCGTTTCCGGACTGGTAAGAGATTTACTTATGTAAAAAATCGGCTTTTGATCACCTCGATCCTCTCGAACTAAAACCCCACTTACAAAATGATTAGAAACCGAGATGTAAAGATAAAGTTTCTCATCTTACTCAGGTTTTGAGAGAACCGGTGGTGTTGTTAAATAAGTTTTGAGTTGATCGAAAGCTGCTTCGCATTGATCACCCCACCAAAATTTCTTGTTTCCTTTTAAAATTTGATAAAAAAGGGAGACATTTATCGGTAGATTTCGAGATGAAACGATTCAACGCAGCAATTCTGCCCGTCAATCGTTGGACCTCTTTAATGTTTTTTGGCGAAGGCATCGTGACGAAAGCGTTAATCTGATTGGGATTTGCTTCTATTCCTCTTTCCGTGACTATGTAA